TGTATTTAGTGCTCCTTGGTGGGTTATCCTGTGAGGGTCGGCTTCTCTTGTTGACGACTTGGGTCCAGGGTGTGCTGTGCCCTGGGTGGGTTGAGAGGTCCATCTTAGTGTTGTGTGGCGTCTTCCCGTCACTGGAGATGTTTACGTTTGTTTTCCTGTTTCACTGTTCTTTTTATGAATTAATTACGGTTTGCTGGGTCACTGTTCCACTGTTGTTGTTTCGGCGATTCACTAGAGAGAATTCACTTGGGAGCTCTAATGCACCGCAGTATTGATCTGTTTTGTACCTGAGAGTATGACTAACACGGAAGTACTGCTATTAATAGTAGTTCTTGAAACACGTCTGCCCGGCTCGAGAGCGTAGCGAAGAATGTGCCGCAATTAGTATTCGGAAGTTCTGAAAAGGTTGCGTAACAGTTTAAGGAGAAAACGTCCCGATTTGTGGCAAACAGGTGAATGGTTCTATCGTCGTGACAACGCGCATGCCCACATAGCGCTGAGTGTGCAGCGATTTTTGACCATAAATGGCATGACACCCTTCCCCCCCCCCCGTATTCATCCCATCTTGCCCCTTGCGACTTTTTTTATTTTCTCGGATGAAAAGAGACCTCAATGGAAAACGTTTTGCTGTTGCTGAAGACTTAAAGAAAACATCGACGGAAGCACTAAAAGGCATCACCATTAATGAATTTAAAAAATGTTTTCAGCAAAGGAAAAAACGTTTGGACAAGTTCATTGAATCGAATGGAGAGTACTTTGAAGGGGATTAAAGTTTTGTTACGTAAAAATAAATACAGAATTTTTTACAAACAAATTCCGTTTATGGGGGGGGACCCCCTTCGTAGTTACAGTAATCTTTAGAGTGTTATGATTATTTGTAGTTACGACTTGAGAGTAGTCAATAAATCTACTCACCAATCCAAACCCCGTCTACAGTCACTAATACACCTGAGAATAAATATTACAGATGAAAGATAAGAAATCCCTAGAGAATTTTGGAGACAAATTTGTTGAAAAGTACTCACCTGGAATTAAAATATTATGTTTTGAACATTATCCATCGTCTTGTCGTCATCTAAAAACCTTCCTGTTTATTTTTTAAAACAAAACGTTTCGGAGACTGGATTCTGTCTCCGGAGATAGGGACTAGCTCTAGCGATTGGGCCCAACTGAGCAGGTTTTACCTGAAGACGGAGATATAATGCAGTTTCCGAAACGCTCTTTTGAAAATTAAACAGGAAGGTTTTTAGATAACGACAGGCCGATGGATAATGTCCAGAAACATAATGTTTGTACTGATGTACCGTCGTCACAAACTTTTATAGCTTGTTTACGCACCTGGAAGACAAAGGAAGACATAGAGGCTAATATTAAGATTGGTCCCAAGAAGAGAGGATGTGATGATAGGATTGCACTGACTCAGAATAAATTTCCGATGACACACTCTGGTAGGCAAAGTTGAAACTAAGGGTTTTGTTACCTCAGAAATAGACGCCTGGTTAAATTAAGAGAAGTGAGATGGACGGGGCATGTGGCACGAATGGGAAACCTAGAATAGTGTTAAGAACTGTAAATGTCACAGGTAAGAGAGAGAGAGAGAGCAGAGTTACAAATTCGCCAAATCTGCCACAGGGTCGGTATGGAGGAGGCATCGCAAGATCATCGTGCCCGCGTTCCACATCAAGATCCTGGACAAGTTCGTAAACACGTTCAATGCAAACTCCAAGATCCTGCTGGAACGTCTGGAACGGCACGCGGGCGGTCCTGGCTTCGATATATACCCCTACATGAATTTCATCACTCTGGACATCATCTGTGGTAAACTGATGAAACGACGACTCAAGCACTATAATCTTATTTTTGAGACTGTGATCTTCTAGGTTATGTCATCTTGAGGTGTTGTAGGCGTTACCAACGTTTCGGAGGAACCTGATGCTTCTGTATTAAGATAGAATATTGTCCTTGCCTTTCTCTTTCTTTGCACTGTAGTCTGGTTCGAGTCTTGGCCTCAGATACAGTGGAAATTTCATAAATGCTGATCACACAAACAGCACCTCTCCTGAGCCTATAGATTCAGTCCATCGTAGCGCCTCTACTGACGAATCCAGTGCTGGGAGGTCACCGGAACACTCAAATCGGCTAGCGAGTTACATAAGTACAGAAACTGGATCAAGTATTATCATAAATTCGAATTGCATAACCAAAACAGGTTTTCCCAAATGCGTCTTGGCTTCTCATGAAGTTCCTCCAGTCAGACTGTTTATTTTGTTTTCCATGTCCGAATTACGCATGAGCATTTAGTAACATTACTGAAGAAATTAAATAAACACCACTACACTTCATATAAGCCGATCACAGTGAAGTCGCTGTCTAAGGCATGAACTGTCTTCGCCCTCTCGAACACTAGGATCGTGGTTTCGAATCCCACTCAGGGCATGGATGTCAGTCTGCTTTGTTTCTGTGTTTGTGTTGTCCTGTGTAGGTGGCGGCCTTGCTGATCCCCCTCCAAATAGTCCTGCTGCCTGTCTTAGAATTAATAAACTGAAGTGAAACAAAGCGTTTCACGGATGTCCTAAGCTGCAAAGTAGGAGCAACAGGATAGAGGGAGAGAGAGACACTTTATATAATCGTCTCCATTATCACTTATTTAATCTTCTTATTTCTTGACCTATTTTCTGTGGTTGCACTTGGACGCATGTGATAATGACAGCACTGTACACATCAGCTTGGAATCAAGTTAAATATTAATCTATGCATGTAAAAAACTTGGGCCTGGATAGCTCAGTCGATATAGGGACTAACTATGAGCTAGATGGCTAGGAATTGGCCATCGATTCATGGCAAGGACCAGAGATTTTTCCTTTCTACAAGTAGTCCAGACCGGTTCTGGGGCCCACCCAACCTCCTATCCAATTGGTACCGGGTGCTCGTTCCCCGGAGGTAAAGCGGCCGGGGAGAGAAACTGACCATGCATGCTATTCCCTGCTTCGGACTTCCTACCAACTTCGTATCCACTACCTTTTTTCAACAATTGCATATTTCATTACTATAAGAGCAGCATATCAGCTTACAATTCCTTCTAGCGGCCTCCGTAGTCTAGAGGTAACGTTCCCACCTCATGACTCATAGAACGCGGGTTCAAATACCCGGCGGAGGTCTTCGAATTTTTAAGGGCGGAAAAATTCAGGGAACAAGTCCTCCTGGAGGGACTTTAAGCCGTGGGCCCGTGTCGTAGCTTTACGGCACGTAAAAGAACCTCATACCTCCAAAGGAGGTCACTGAGCAAAATTGCGGACGTTTGCCGCCCAACAGCAGTCACTAATACCTCCGGTAGATGGGGAAAGCATTATAGATATTTCTCAGTCAGTAGAGAGCCGATCTCGCTGGCTGGGTGGGACTGATGGTAAGCACCAATACCGGTAGGATATAGAGGCTGGTAGAAATCATAGAGGGAAGCACAATGGACCACTACAGGTCTAAGTGCATGGGGAAACCCACCCTCTCTAATAACTAACTACAATTCCTTCTTATTTTATGTTTCTTATATATTTAAGATTTTAGGTTTTTACGACAGTAAATATGGCGAATTCGGGTTTCTAGAACGCGACACCGTATAGTCTGGTAGTAAATATCTATCAAACTACAGAGTGCAATATCCGAGAAAGACGTTTAATCCTTGTTAAGTGCTCTGCATGTAAAACAACTTCCGCAAAGACATAATTTCGTGCCTTATTATTATTATTATTACGACTCTATATCACTTTGTTGGGCTTGGTCACATTTTCAGTTCCTTGATCCTATACACAGTCGGTAGGACTCCTTGAAAGGGGATCAGCCAGTCACAAGCCCTCTACCTACACACAGAACAACATAAACACAGAATAAACTTCCAAAAGAGAAATCTACATCTTGAGTGGGATTCGAACTCACAATCCCAGAGTTCGAGCGAAAGAAGACCGCGCGACCACTGTGATCGGCTCGCTGCCCTCTGTAGAAGTATAGTAGGTTCATTATGTGTGCTTCTCGCTTGAAAGAAAGGTGCCTCAGATGTAACCTCCGGTAAAAATGTTTAAACAAGATAAAATTTTCCTCTGGCTGTCACTTGCAAATTTTCCATGCCAGCAACCATTTCTGTTTCACAGTTGTCCGATGTAAAAATTTACCGAATAATTTAATTTGCCGGAAAAGCATGTCACGATTCATTAGAATATTGCTTCGAGTCGCAGATCTTCGTGACGAAATCTGTATCAAGTCTTCAGCAGAGAGGAGCGGGGTTCGGAACCAGAGAATCGTAGCGAGACAAACCGTGTCTCGTAAAACACAACAAACATCGGGATAGATATTGGAAATTTAAGACATAAAGTAACTAATATGTTGGGATTTTGGACTTTATCCATCGTCCTGGTTTTTAAGATAACAAATTTTTTATTTGTTTTATTTTTATTTGTTATCTTAAAAACCAGGACGATGGATAAAGTCCAAAATCCCAACATATCAGTGTGTTATACACCATCGTCAGAATCATAAAGTAACTAATTCCATTTATGAGGCAGAATCATTCTTGAGAAGATTAGAATCTGTCAGCTTCTCAAGAAATTCCAAGCATTTTATGGAACGTATTTTGTCTAGTGACCATTATATTCTGAGGCAGATAAATTTAATCTACGTCCTCACACATATTTATTTACACCCAATTTAATATTATCATCACATCTACTCCGAGGGCTCTCGTGTGGCCACTTCTCTTAAAGTTTTCAGTTCAAAATCAGTACGAATTTCTCATTGGTTCCAGGCATGATACATGCCTCACCATCGTCCTTCCAAACCTGCCTACTCTAATGACATTGTGGTGAAAGGAACAAATTGTGTACCTCCATTTGCTTAGCTCCTTTCTCTTAGATGCAAATACTATCTTCAGCATTATGTTCTCAGACCATCTGCATCAGGAACAGGCACCCATACAAAACAAGAGGTAAATTTACATTTTTTTTACATTATCTTATTAAAGTTTTATATCAAAATGAAGATTAAAATGAATGGTACCAAGTGTACCCCGAATTTTTTGTTCTTTTAATTTCTTCTTGAATACAACTGATTTTTAATTATCAATCCAATGTATTTAAATTTTGTTACGTTTTTAAGTATTTGCTCTTTATCTTTATGATATTTCCTTGAATTCTGGCGGCGAGACATAGACACATCCTTGGTTTTCTCTGGGTCTAATTCTAGACCACTCGTCTGACAGAGCCTGTGCGTGTTTGTGCTTCTACTCAGTAACTTAACATTATCAGCCTAGGCCATAAACTTATATACCCCATTCAATCACAATACCTCCCTACATAGGGAAAAGAAACTGGTTCGAATCTCGCTGGGGCACCTATTATCTTCACTGTGGTTTTTCGTGACTTTCTGTAGTTCCTCGAAGCAAATGCCGGGGTAGATTTAAGATTAGGCCACTACCACTTCCTTACACATTAGTTAATAGAACAATCACTACGCAATGAAACTCTCTAATGTCTGAGTCACAAAGAACATTTTTAAAAATAAATAAACCGCGGCGGCCCAAGTTCGATCCCGGGTCTGGTCAAGTGGGATTTGTGGTGGACAAAGTGACGCTGGGGCAGGTTTTCTCCGAGTACTTCGGTTTCCCCTGCCAATCTTCATTCCACCAACTGCTCCACAATCACCCTCACCTATCATCTGGGGCTGGTACATTAGGCCAGAAGTGGGCGCAGTACAAGGGACTTAGTCCCACCCCACTAGCAATAAAAATAATAATAAATGACGACAAAAGAACATAGTCCCAGTGCTTACGTATCTTGCCTTGAATGTTTCTGAAGGGGAGGGGTGAAAGTCCCGGAATCTGACGGGCGTGAGATGTCATCTGCAGGTTCAGCCCGTTTTATCACTGGGAAAGTGGTCCAATTCCTACAGTAGAAGGGAATGCGCGGGCCTCGAAGCCAATGTAGACGAAATGGTGAAGGAAAAAATCTCTGCGCTTGCAGGGTTCAGGGCAGGGCCCTTCAGCCCGTAAGCAACAGTTTTACTGTCCATGACAGCCCATAAGAAAATCTTAAGTAAATAAATGTATAAAATATAACTATTTATTACTCCATGAAGGCGTATGGGGGAGTGGATGTATAGATCCATATTTTCTTGACTTCATTACTGTCTGGAGGTGAGTGGTCAGTTTCACGCTCCTGTCGCTTTACCCCCGGGGAAAGAGCCCCGGTACCCATTGGATAGCAGGTTGGGTGGAACCCAGAGCCCGTCTGGGAGACATGGAGGAGAGAAAACTCTTGCTCCACGGGGACTGGAAATCCGAACCCCTCAGTCGCCCAGCCCGTAGCCAGTCGCTATACTGACTGCGCTATAGCGGCTCTATTTATGTGAAGGTTAATTCTGCGGATGGAAAGCGTATCATTGTATAATATATACACACACATGCACAAACATGTACATGCGCACTCACACACACGCACACACACACACATTGGAATGTTAATGTATGGAAATTACGTGTTCACTTTGACTTAAAGCTCAGCAACATGTGGTGTTTTATTGCAGAATCTGCAATGGGAGTGAAGATTAATGCCCAGCTCGACAACTCCTCGGATTACGTGAACGCTGTGCAGATGTAAGAAACAATATTATAAAGACATAACAAATTCTCTACATAATTACTATTTATTCGCTTTATAATCACTAGCAAATAATCTTTGAACTTAAACCATTTTTCCCCCTCCAGTCCCCCCCCCCCGTCACACGTGAACTTACTTAAAGCACCCTGTGGCTAATAATAGAAATTATGGAGTTCAGTCGTTCTACATGGAAACGGAGCGTCAGATCAAAATTTCAGTTCTGCGTTATTTATCCTTCTATTATTTTCGTTTGGGACACAACGCTCCGGAGACTGCATTCTGTCTTCGTCTTCAGGTATAAGTCTGCTCAGTTGAGCCCAGTCTCTATCTCCGGAGAATCCGGCCTCCCAAGAAGACAAACAGGAAATGGATAACATCCACTAACTCAAGAGTTGTATTGACATGCCATCGTCACATAGGCTACTTGTAGATCTTAGTTTGAATTCTGTCATTGGGCACTTTGTTTTTGGAAGACTCTATATTTCCTGCCAAATTCGCTTTCGCAAATTATCTCCCGATGCTGGGTCTTGTGACACTAACTCAGTAGGTCTAGGCCTACCTCCATGAACTTCTGCGTTCACTTCGGTTTTCTAGATCTTACACATTCGGTAGGACTCCTTGGGCGGGTGATCAGCTCGTAACTCAGCATATATCGCTGGAGTATTATAATTGTCATTGTGTCCTGCAATCCAGGCTCGATCTCAAGGCCAAGGACGTCATCAGGCAGGAAGACCAAGTTCTCACAACGTTTCTCACCGCTGCAGCAAAACAATATTCCTATTTGCCATTCAGTTATATATTTTGTAGGATTAGTCACAGTCAAGTTGTCACGACATTCGTAGTGAAACTTGTCCAATTACCCGAAGTGTTAAAGGCGGTGTGAGGAATGGATAGGAATCCAATTTTGACTATGCCATTTTCACGATAGAAATTGGTGGCAGATATTTAAATTTTAGATTATTGATTGTGAACAAAGTTAACGGCTGACGGGTCCAGACATATCAACAAACGGTTTCAGATGCAGCATAAAACTGAGCTACCATACAACTTGTGCCTTTAACATGACCAAAAGTTTTATGGTTGATAGCCATGGAGCAACTTGCGTTTCTTGTGTTTACAGGGGGACACTACTGACATTCATGGGGCACCCTACTTTCCACGTACCACCGATATAAAATTAGCTACGCTCCCTGTTCCCGTCGGGAATATTTCGCTTGCTTCATTGGGGCAGTGAATGCCCCATATTCGTAAAATTTCAATGTTTTTACAGTGACATGGCATTTCTCTAAAACTTCTATTTAATAGGTAAGACAGTGGAAATTGAAATCGGTCGAATTCCATCACACGATAAATTTGTGTGGTTTCTGGGGCTTGTGACGTTGAAGTCTACATGAAATATCTTCGCCATTCCATTCCTGGGAATTTCCATAATGACGAGATCGGCGAGAAATTCCCTTCGTCTCTTAGTAGTCATAACCCAGCCTTCTGCACTGAGTGGCATTGGGTCTGAATCTCAGTAAAGCCCGTGCTCATCCACTAGCTCCTGCACACTGAGGTGGTAAGAATCAAATCACGTGTATGAACGTATCCTGAAAAAATATTAAGGATCTATAATTTAGCCCACTGAAATCTATCTAGCCTATAAACAAGATTATAGAGATTTAGATGTTCAAGAATTCCAGATTTGTCCTTCTGGAGAATAAAGTCTGTCAGCAGTTGTAATTTGTGTTCCTCCCTCAGAGAGGCCCATACAAGAAAAAAACTGTTTTCTACGTTACATAATCGCATTCCTGTTCGCAAAAAATCCTACCTTGCTGGAGACCTTGAATAATTGCCCGAAAGACGCTTCCCGGAAGTGACATGGCTTGCCAACAGGCTTCATTCTTATACATCATAGAGGCCCTAGCAATCATTTTTCTTGTTCCAACTGTGACCATTCTTATATTTTGAAACTAATGTGGCAGTTTACTGGCTCTTCGAAAAATGTTTTAATTAAATTAGAAACAAATTTCTGTATATTTCGCGAAGTGAGATGAGCTTGTAATTTTACAGTTGTTATCTTGTCTTACGTAATCTAAACAGCTGCTCGAGTTTAGACATGTTTGTATGTACATGCCTTGGATATGAATAACAGTAGTAATTGACCTAATCCTTCCAGCCACACTATGGCCCTGGGGTCGACTCAGCCTCTAACACAAATGAGTACCAGGAATTAATTAAATTATTTTCCTGGGGAGTAAAGCGCGGCCGGCGAGTAAGGCTGACAAACTTACCATCTTTGAGCCGATTGTCTAGATAATGTGGGAGGCTCAATGTCTCACAACCCTATGGGCCTTCACGGCCTGGTACAGGGATAGTTTTACTTCTTGCTTACTTATACTACCACAGTCAAGAAATTCGTGGAATAATTTCCTGCCAGTGTGTGTTTCATCAATGTTTTCGGCAGCTATATGAACGTTGGCAGACTTGCATAACGGCCAACGGCAACTATTCTGAGGGCCGATGTGGATCTGTGTAAGTGTATGTGAATACCTTGTGATATGATGCGATAAAACCACATTCCACGATCTTAATGGCTCTACCACGAATATATATACGCTTATATTATTCAAGTAAATCTGCGAAGGTTTTCAGTGAATAAGACTTAGAAAAGAGAAAGGGAACATCGAGAGTAACACAAATGTACGTGTTACCGCAGCGATTCCTACTTATAAGTTGGAGTGATATTAAAGTTCTCCCTGTGCTTAATTAATTAAACTCTATGCTATGAAAGCAGTGAAAGCGGATGGAGAATGCAAGTATAGCTCCGTCACAACATCGGATCTAACTGGATGTGGGTGGAGAGCTTCACACTCCGACCGCTTTACTCCCAGGGAGAGTGCACCCGGTACCCATTAAGTAGAAGGTTGGTTGCGCCTAGGAGACAATCAGGACGCTGTGGACTAGATAAATATGTTTGCCACTGCCGGGAATCAAACCCCAGCCGTCCAGCCCGTGGGCAGTATCTATACCATTGAGTTATCCCGGCTCCCTTTGGAGTGATACCATCACTTTTATGGTACTTGGATATCGAAAAGTTGTGCATCTTTTAGTTTAAGTTAAACATTTTTGCTGAATATAAAACATGACCATGCGAAATTAGTACTAAGCTTTCAGTTTGAGGACAACTGCTGAACCACTAGAGAGAGGCGGAAGAAATACTGTATGGAGTTTGACCACAAACACTGGGAACTTAAAATCTCGTATGGGCCAGTTTTCATACGAAGCATTAAAAGGTTTGCTGATGATGGGAAATGTAACGCCTTTTGAATCTGTCGATTTACCAGTGAAATTTACGCATAGAAATGGACCATTGAATTATGTAATCTTTAATTTAGTGTTCCTGCTCGCCTCACCGCACAGACTGAAACATTTCAAGGAAGTTGGTGGTGTAAGTCCTTGTGAGATTCAGGTTCATTGACTTCACTGAACTATTAAAGTAAAGTAAAGGGTAAAGGTCGGCGGTTTCTCAACACTAACATCCCAGAATCCAACATATTTTCGAGAGAACTTACGATGCAATACATCCGAAATCGAATATCAGCTCGGTTTTCTTTAATGCCTTCAATTTCAACCATTTGTTCTTGTAGTTTGGGCGATGCCATGTTCCTTCGTGCATTCATGCCGTGGCTTCACCTGGACTCGACTTTCGCCCTCTCGTCTCTGGGTCGGTTGCAAAAGAAGTGTCTTAAGGTCCTTCACGGTATGACCAAGAGAGTTATCAGGAGTCGAAAGGCGCAGATCCTGAACAATAACGAGACGGAGCCGCGACAGACCGATTCTGACTCCACAGGTAAGATGAAATTTGCACGTAACGGGAAAGTAATACCTAACTCATCTTCAGAACTGCTTAATTGAAAGTTATTGGTTCAAATCAAGCTTTATGTATTTCGTCAAGAAATGTAACCGTAAATCCCATACTTACATCGCATACCTCACTCGCGTGTACAGTTGTAATATTTAGAAGTGACAGTCCAGGAGAAGCTGCGCAGTGGATGGGCAGGTCCATTCGTGAAAGTTGAGGAGTGTTGTAATTAGTCATTCGTCTGTTTTCAGTGCGAGCAGACGTCTCAAATTCAGTTAAAAGCATTCTTCCGTGTACAGTCAAGTTAAAATTTTTGACTCTTGGAGTCGTATTTCAGTGAATTATTCCCTATTTACTGCATTAATATTTTATTTTGTTGTTTATTTTTATTCGTTGATTTTCTTTTTTGTTTATTTATATTTGTACAATTGTTCTCTCTCCTTTATCATGCCACCTACACAAAGTAAATTGAGTAGAAAAGTGCTGCATTCACAATCAAGAGAAATTGTTAGTAATGTACATGAAAGAGGCTGGGCCAACAATTACAGTGAAGAACATAGGAGTGGAAGTAGCAAAGGCAACAGGTGTATCGGAAAGTAGTGTCAGAAGAATAGTAAGAGAAACAAAAAATATCGAATCCGGGGCTTCCACTTCCTTTTCGACACCCCATAAAGAAAGACCTAAGAAATCTCCACTAGCCACTTTGGACGACTTTATCGAGTCGGTGGTGCGAAGAGCAATTAATGACTTCTACATAGTCGAAACACGGAGACCTACCCTGAAAATAGTTCACAAAAGTTGAAGAAAAAGTTAGATTTTCAGGGATGCATCTCCACATTAAAGAAAATTATTTGTATTTTGAAATTGGGGTTCCGCTGGAAGAAAACAAAAAATAATCGGCAGATACTGGTGGACCGTTATAATATCAGAGCCGACCGTCTTCAGTATTTGCGACAAATTAAAGAATATAGGGAAGAGGGCCGCCCAGTCATTCATCGCACACCATCCCGTATGCATGGAGTGATGGATCCATCCAGGGATTATTTTCTCCTGTGTCCAAAGGCCAACGGCTCATTGTTATCCATGCAGGGGGAGAGCAATGTTTCAGCCCTAATGCCTATGTCCGCTTCAAATCCCACCAGAAACAGGAGACTACCACAGTGACACGAACTACACCAATTATGAAAAATGGTTAAAGGAGCGACTTATTCCTAACCGTCCCCAAAATTCTGCCCTTGTCATTGATACTGCTCCCTACAATAATGTACAACTAAACAGAGCCCCTAACTCAAATTTAAGAAGAGATTTTATGATATCCTTGCTAAAATATCACCTTCCACCTATTACCTTCAATAACACTGGTTTTTCATCGTTGCGGAGTCCAGATATATAGAGTGCGGCAGCATAATTTGCTGATTTGAAGGGTCAAAAAAACAAAAGATTTTATTGGGTATCGTTGTAATTATTTTTCTCCAGATTCTACAACATTGGAAATTTACGTTTACTCTGTCTTAAAAATTGTATCCAACAAGTGGCGCTACCCATTGGCGATACACTGATTTGCCTGAATTCTGAAGTGTCGGTCGACTCTTTCCAGCATAGTGATGGGTATGTTGGCTATGGCTTGGCGAATATTCTCCTTCAGTTGAGCAAGGGTCCTTGGACGATCGGTGTAACGAGGGATTTCAGATACCCCAATAAGAAATAGTCACAAGGGGCTATATCGGGTGAGCGTGCCGGCCTCTGAAGCTCGCCCCTCAAGGAAATCAGGCGCCCGGGGAGGTGTTCCCGCAAAACAGGCATTGCAGTTCGCGCCGTGTGTGCCGTGGTTCCATCCTGGTGAAACCACACATCCCCAACATCCATTTCGTCAAGACTTGGCAAAACAATTTTCGATCATTTTCACATAGCGGCTCGATATTTTGGGGTGATCTGACGGCCCGTTCTCCTGATCTTCTCTTTTCCACACTACCAGTTCTCCTGAATGTGTTTGCCCACGTAACAATCGATTGCCGACCAGGAACACGAGCTCGGGCGGAAATATTGAAGTGCGCGCGGAATCCTCGCTGCGTGGAGACGATCGAGCGACCGTTAGAAAAGTAAGCCTCTACGGCAAACGCGCGCTGTTCCTTCGTCCAACGCATTCTCGGTACTAAAGTTGAAGGAGGAACAAACTTCCCGACCCACCCGATCGAATGAGACCATCCGCATCCTCTAACGGCCAAACCTCGCTTCCTGGCGCCAAATTCAAATCAGCAAATTATGCTGCCGCACTCTGTATATAATATGATCCTACCACTCAAACCGAAATACCTTTCCTATAAAATAGATGGAATCTGTGCAGAACACAATCACAATATTTTACGACTACCTGCTTATCAACCAGAACTCAACACAATTAGTTAATATGGGCCACCGTAAAAAATTGGGTTGCTCAAGATAATACCACATTTAAGATGGATGATGTCATTAAATTGGCAGACCAAAAATTGGCTTCCATAACTGCAGAATGGCAACGTAGGTGCCAACATGTAAGGAACACTGAGCAACAATTAATGGCAAGGGAAGGCCTTTTGGACGCAGGACGGGAGTTCGTCTTCCATGTAGGCGGTGATAGTGATGACAGTTCTGATGACAGCTCCGATTCATCTGGTGGTGACGAGGAAGGACAGGCATGTGGAGATGATACCTAAGCGGACACTGCCGGTGTTGCCTCATTAGAATAGACCCGTGTAATATGTAAATAAACTCTTCATGTATATAACAGTGAAAAGTGTATAATAGTATATAGTGCATAATAGTCTGCAATTCGGCACTTAAAACTTAACATCGGTTGTGTGAACATCATCGAGATTAAACCGCCAACACTATGCAACACAATGAGGTAAGAAGTTATTTCCTTTTGAGAACGCAGTACAGGCGTTCTCAAAAAGATATAATTTCTTACCTCATTGTGTTGCAACACCGGCAATGTTCGCATAGATATCAGCTCCACATGCCTGTCCTTCCTCGTCACCACCAGATGAATCGGAGCTATCATCAGAACTGTCATCACTATCACTGCCAACATGGAAGACGAACTCCCGTCCTGCGTCCAAAAGGCCTTCCCGTTCCATTAATTGTTGCTCAATATTCCTTACATATTGGCACCTACGTTACCATTCTTCTGCAGTTATGGAGGCCAATTTTTGATCTGCCAGTTTAATGACGTCCAAAGTGGCTAGTGGAGATTTCTTAGGTCTTTCTTTATGGGGTGCCGAAAAGGAAGTGAAAGTCCCGGATTCGATATTTTTTGTTTCTCTTACTATTCTTCTGACGCTACTTTCCGATACACCTGTTGCCTTTGCTACTTCCACTCCTATGTTCTCCATTGTAATTGTTGGCCCAGCCTCTTTCATGTACATTACTAACAATTTCTCTTGGTTGTGAATGCAGCACTTTTCCAGTCAATTTACTTTGTTTACGTGGCATGTTAAAGGAGAGAGAACAATTGTACAAATATAAATAAACAAAAAAGAAAATCAACGAACAAAAATAAACAATAAATTAAATATTAATACAGTAAATAGAGAATAATACACTCAAATAGGACTTCCAGAGTAAAAAATTTTTAAATTGACTGTACAAGGAAGAATGCTTTTAACTGAAACCGAGACGTCTGCTCGCACTGAAAACAGACGAATGACTAATCATAACACCCCTCAACTTTCACGAATGAACCTGCCCATCCACTGCGCAGCTTTTCCTGGACTGTCACTTCTAAATACCCGGGCTGTACAAGTTTTGTTTGAAATGCATTCGGTACGACCTGGCTTACTGTATACTGTGTAACAAGCAGGGATAGCTCAGTCAGTACAGTGAATGGCTTCGGGCTGGACGGCCGATGTCGGAATACGAGTCCCGGCAGGGACAAGATTCTTATCCTCTCCACGTCGTCCAGACTGGTTGTGGGGCCCACCCAGACTCCTATCCAAAGGGTACCTGGGGTAAAGCGGCAGGGGCGTGAAGCTGACCACCCACCTGCAGCTAGTGCTGAGGTCAAGAAAATGTGGATCTATATATCCACTCCCCCATAGATTTTCTTGTCGTAGTGCTTAATTACACGTATTTGAGTACCTCTACACCGTGTAACAGCTGTGCCGCGATTATGTCTGCTTTTGCAGTTCATGAACAACAAGCATTCATTTCCTCCCCGGCTCTGCAGAAATATTCTGCTCTCGATGCTTCAATATCTGCACGTTTTGGCCGAGTCGTTTGCCTCTAACGCCATGCAAAATTTCAGGGGTGAAGCAAAGATACGCCTTCCTGGACCTGATGATTCAAGCAATGAAGGACGGCGCCACTCTCACTGACCAAGAGCTGCAGGAAGAAGTGGACACAATCATGTTGGCAGTGAGTACATAATGCACCCTGCTGTCGCACTTTCGAGTTCCATCTTGTCACTGACACCAACATGGCGATGCGCAAGCTATGGATGCCAGAGCACTGAATCATCCGAAACTCCGATGGTACATGTAGTATGTAATTGACTTAGAAATACGGTAAGGTGTTGTTTTGGTAGTTTTGAGAATAATCTTTTAAAATAATGACTTAGGGACTGCACGAAATATAGGCTTATAACCGCTGTATAACTTCGTGTTTAGTTGCAGTAACTTATTATTGTTATTAAGACTCTACAAGCCGTTTTTTGGGCCTTGGCCGCTTTTAAAGTTTCTTGATCCTATACACAGTTGGTAGGACTCCTTCGACGGGGGATCAGCCAGCAGTAAGACCGCTATCTGCAAACAGAATAACACAAATATAGAATAAACGCACACGATAGAGACATTTATGCCTTGAATGAGATTCGAACCTACGATTCCAGCGTTTGAGCAAGCAAAGACAGGTCATGCCTCAGACCGTGCGGCAACCGCAGGGCCATTGTGCGGCTGGAAGAATTAGGTCAACTGAAAAAAAAAATTACGTAATCGGTATTCGATTTTGCCATGTTCACTTCTGGCCCCCAACTTAGGTTACACAACTGAGGTGTGACACGCAATTGAGGGCTCGATATTCTGCGTGTTAAATGCTCGATTCTTGATGGCGTGGCCGAATGTTTATGCAGGGCGTCCTTGAAGCCCCTTTCAGAAGCAGCACCTGTAACCTTATCTCAGATAGAGTTGAAGACTGCTATAAATCTGAGAGGCTAAGCCTCCCAGCATTAACATCTTCATTTTAACCGAATGTTCATTTTTATATAAAATAGAAAATACATTCATTAACAATATCAACATTTCTGAGAAGTTATCAGCTTCACTTCAAGACAGTTTAAAACTTCCTGTTACATCAACTTCCTATATCTTCCAGTGTAGCCAGATATATGTATTTCGGATAATGTGATGTCGTATATTCTTCGGAGATATAACCACAAAGGCTCATATTCCTTATGTTATACTCTATAGAGTGTATTCCTAATTGACTTGGGCACGCAGTAGGACAGTTGATTGAGGCACTGTGCTACAAGCCGGAAGGTAGCGGGTTCAAGTACCGATGAGGTGGATTTTTTCAATTTACTTAATCCTTCCAGCCGCACTATGGCCCTGGAGTCAACTCAGCCTCTAACAGAAATAAGTATCAGGAATCTTCCTGGGTGGTATAGGGCGGCCGGCGCTTAAGGCTATCTGTGAGCCGGCTGTCTAGAGAAAATGTGGGAACTTCGACATCTCACAACCCTAAGGGCCTCCACGGAAGGCTCATTCCATGTGAAGTCATCCAGATAGGTCGTTCGACCACTTAAAAAATATATTTTGTACACTTATTTCTACATATTTTCATACTTAAAAATATTTGTAAAAAATTTTAATCCGCTCGGTTCTCCCGGTACAGCCGTTTTTATAATGCAAAAAAACGCATTTTCGGCTGAAATGGAGTTTTGCATTATCTTCCATATCTCGATAACATTGAAGCTAGAGACGCCAGTAAGAAACCAATTTGTTCCTCATGATATGGACTATAATTCATGTAATTACAAGGTTTTACTCAACTCACTTCCTCTAGGTCTAATTAAGCTTGAAACTTACCAATCGATTTTAGAAAAAAGCTATTTTTCAACTTCAAAAACCAATGGGAGGGGGAAAGCATCAGACCTTTGGCTTCTACCTTTTGTTGTTACCTGTATGGGGAATATAATCACGTAGTTTTGAACACCGTATCTATTTTCCAAAAATTTCTAGGAGCGAGTGTTGATAACGTGTCATTCCGAACAGAAAGTGCTGTACTTACTGAACGGAATGTAAAAGTAGAAAGTAAAGTAAAGGTATCCCTGTAACAGGCCGTGGAGGGCCATAAGTTTGTGAGATGTTGAGGTTCCCACATTTTCTAGAAAATTGGCTCACAAATGGCTGTAAATTTGTCAGCCTTACGCGCCGGCCGACCTTTGCCCACAAGAATACTCCTGGTACTCATTCCTGTTAGAGGCTGAGTCGACCCCAGGGCCATAGTGCGGCTGGAAGGATTAGGTAAATTGAAAGAATCCACCTCATCGGGATTCGATCCCGCGACCATCCGGCTTGTAGCATAGTGCCTCAACCAACTATGCTACCGCGTGCCCCTGCTGCTCGGAATGACAAAAAATAAATCTCTCGTCGTTTATACCGAATAAAGAATCACTAGTACCATTGGATGCAGGTAAGCCAATCGTTGAGGTGTTGATGTTTTTGGTAAAGTTCAAAGTCCCACAACTTCGATTACTAGAATATCAAAGTTGTAATTTTAATTCAACGTTACTCCATAATAGAGAATTATTCGCTATGAATTTCAAAATTTTCGGATCATCCCCACCGGAGATATGAGATGTTAAATATGGCCGATTTGGGGCCCAGAGCAAAGTTTGTTAACTCCTGGAAAATAGGTACGGGGTTCAAAACTACGTGACTATATTCCTCATGTAGGCAACAACAAACGTCAGAAACCACAGATCTGATACTTTTCCCTTCCCACTGGCTTTTGAAGTTGAAAAATAGCTTTTTTCTAAAATCGATTGGTAAGTTTCAAGCTTAATTAGACCTAGAGGAAGTGAGTTGAGTAAAACCTTGTAATTACATGAATTATAGTCCATATCATGAGGAACAAATTGGTTTCTTACTGGAGTCTCTAGCTTCAATGTTATCGAGATATAGAAGATAACGCAAAACTCCATTTCAGCCGAAAATGCGTTTTTTTGCATTATAAAAACGGCTGTACCGGGAGAACCGAGCGGATTAAATTTTTTTACAAATATTTTTAAGTATGAAAATATGTAGAAATAAGTGTACAAAATATATTTTTTTAAGTGGTCGAACGACCTATCTGGATGACTTCACATGGAATGAACCAACCTGTTACAGGGATAGCTTTCCCTTTTTATAATCCTATTATTATTGTGCACCCATTAACTGATATCCTAAGGCATTTAATTGTTGATAATTGAGTATTTACTATGTCTTTCTTACTACTCACAATTCACTCAGATACAATATCTCATTGCCATTGTCTTGCGGAAATATAGCCGCGTTTTTATTTTTGTTCTTTTTATTGCTAGTGGGGTGGGACTAAGTCCCTTGTACTGCGGCCACTTCTGGCCTATTGTACCAGCCCCAGATGATAGGTAAGGGTGATTGTGGAGCAATTGGTGGAATGAAGATTGGTAGGGGAAACCGAAGTACTCGGAGAAAACCTGCCTCAGCGCCACTTTGTCCACCACAAATCCCACTTGACAAGAACCAGGATCGAAGCCGGGCCGCCGCAGTGGAAAGCCAGCGTGAGCTATGGTGCGGCCAATATAGCAGCGTTTCTTTTATACCTATGCAGCAACGTAAGAACAAATTTGAAAAGAAAAACTAGGTAAACGTTTCCTAGAAATACAGGCTTAATTAAGAGCATATTCAAGTCACGTATTCCGAAAACAAGGATATGTAACACGCTAGCTTCTCCAGCAATTTGTCGCCTTGATGCTGATGGCTGGTGATGATCTATGACACGAAGTATGTTCTGGTTTGCAGGGCCACGACACAACAACATCCGCCCTCAGCTTCAGCTGCTGGTGCCTGGCCGAGCACCCAGACGTCCAGGTAAAGGAAAAACTGGAAGCCTCATAGATTTCTGTGGGCTGGGAGGATTACATACACACTTGCACGTTACCGACCTGCTAACCAATTAGGTCTACACACGTTCTTTGTCAGAGACCTCAAATATTTTTAGAATCTTTAGTATTTATGATGCCGGACCGCCCCTGTGGTCTATTGGTCAGAAATCCTGGCTACAGATCCGGAGGCTCCGGGTTCAATTCCTAGCGCTACCAGATTTTCTGAGAAGTAGTGGGTCTGGAACTCAGCCTCGTGAGGATAATTGAGGAGCTATTTCAAGGAAATAGCGGTTCCCGACTGGAAACCGAGATTAACGGCCGTGGGGATCCGTTGCGCTGACCACGCGACACCCTCCATCCGCAAGAAAAGTTCGCACTAACTTCGCCGACAAGCGGCGGTCGCTGGGTCGGTATAGTTCGCTTGCGGACTACAGGCCACGTAGTTTTTTTTTTTAATTTATCATTCTGTTGGTGTTCATATTTACTGACCATTAAAATAACAGTTAACAAAATCTGTACAAATACAGCATATAAAATACCGAAATAGTCAGGAACATGATCCAATTATACCAGTCCGTTCTTTGTAACGACCGATCTGGCCATTACTACACCTTTGATGGGTAAGCTTATACGAAAATCAGTGCATATATTTTAACAACCTCTTGTATATTTTGGGATTACTGATTTTAATCACAGAACTGATTCTAACTACAATTGGCACATCATAATAAAATAAAATGAAGACGCAACTACATCTACAATTCGAACATCAAACTTTATATTCATTTACTCTAAATTTTATACATTTTCTTAAACATCCTTATTTCAGTATTTCTATAATTTTTATTTTTATGAATTACAACATAAAGACTTACTCAAACGAGATAAATAGTTTTAGTAGTTATGTAACTAATTTATAGTATATACCTTATTAATTCTAATTCATGATAAAATAAAACATATCTATGGGATATGACACAGAATAATCCGTTACAAAACAATTGATATTTGGTGCAAAAATGTCGCCTCCATCTTGACGGCCGAAGAATTAGCCAAGCAAGACTCAAGCATGAAGCAGGTAGGTCAACGTCAGTTCACTTTCAACGGACTACATGGTGTTATACCCCATAAGACAGAACACTTAATAATTTCTTGTGTGAGAACCTCAAATTCTACTTTATACAATATTTTGTAAACGTAATTGAAAAAAGATCCACGTTCTAGGAGGAACGGAGTTTTCTTTTAAGTTACACATGACGACCATTGCAGTCGAAATGTGTCATGGTTAGAAAAGCTAATGTATTTCATAGCCAGTCACAGTAGCCGCGCAGTTTAGGTAGTGGTCTTGGCGACGGGCTGATCACTCGTCCAGGGAGTCTTATCGATTGTGTAAAATGATTACGGAACTGAATAGAGACCTGGGCCCTGAATGGACTGGAAGAGCCATTGAAAAAACACGTATTTGATATGTTATATGAATATGTGTTGTGTTCATGGCTGCTTTATTACCCAATTAATTTACAAGGAAATATGTAAAAGGACGGTAGTTTAAGCCAATACGGCGAAGTTCAGAAATTGGCATAAGGTTTCACTGAAATGTGGCCAGGTATGAGATGTATCAATTTCTTTGGAGATTTAAATGTTTGTATGCCAATTTAGGAAAGGGTAATTTCGGAGATAAGAGATATATTTGGCGACTCGACCCGCGACGCGACCTTTCGTGACCTTCAGGAGATGAAGTACCTGGAGCAGGTCATCAAGGAGACACTGAGGATTTTCCCCAGCGTGCCTATGTTCGGAAGAGTTGTTACCGAGGATCTGCCCATGGGTATGTGTGAAGCGGCACAGTTCAAGCAGCACGCCAGGATTATATCTGGCTGAACAGGATTTTGCGGCTTTCTTCCTTTCTTCTACGCAAACTCAGTGACAATTCCTTCAATCCTACTAGGCATTATTCATAACACAGACTATTTGACCTATATCTCAGAAATTAATATATCGTATATCACATACATGCCGCTCACGGTAGCCGAGCGGTCTAAGGCATGTACTGTCTTCGCTCGCTTGGAAACCGGGATCGTGGTTTCGAATCCCACACAAGGCATGGATGTTTGATGTGTGTGTGTGTGTGTGTGTGTGTGTGTGTGCGTTTGTTCTGTGTTTTTGTTGTCCTGTGTTTATGTAGAGGCCTTGCGACGAGCTGATCACTCGCCCAAGGAGTCCTGCCGTCTGTAGAATGATCATGAAACTTAGAAATCACCAATATGCTCCAAAGACGGAGCAAGAGGAGAGAGAGAGAAATATCACATATATGACATGCATAAGATACAGTGTGGGAAGTGAGACAGAGCAGTCGGTATAGCGACTGGTTATGGACTGAAAAATTGAGGGGTCAGATTTCTGGTCCCGCAGGGATCAAGAATTTTCTCTTCTCCACGTCGTCCTGAACGGCTCTGGGGTGTACCCACCTTTCTATATAATTGGTACCAAGGGCTCTTTCCTCGGGGGTAAATCTTCCGTGGCATGAATCTGACAACTCACCTCCAACTGGTGCCGAGGTCATAAAAACGTGAATCTGTACATCCACTCCCCCATACATCCTCATGGCATAGTGCTTAATTAGTTAAGCATAGAGACAACTTTACTTTTTTACTTTGTATGATATAGTCTATATGTGAAATAACCGAATAAACAAATGCCACTGTATCAAATAAATTTTTCAGGTGAGTACATCCTTCCTGCTGGCACGAATATAGGATTCAACCCTTACATGTTACACCGGAACCCTGAATATTTTCCGGACCCGGAGAAGTTTGATCCAGACAGATTCCTGCCGGAAAACTGCCAAGGAAGGCACCCGTACTGCTACATACCATTCAGTGCTGGCCCGAGAAACTGTTTAGGTATTTGTGCATTCTAAATGCAGATTGTGTTGCTCACATGCATCCGTACATACGTTACGATTCCTAAGGAACAGTCATGTGACGCTCATACAGACTATTTCCCGAAAGCAGTCCGACTGGTGTCCCTAGCTGAACCAGTCTATCTAAGAACTTAAGGCTGTATATTCACCTCTCATTTAGGACATGTGTGGGGGCACGCGGTAACGTATTTCGTTGAGTCACTATGCTACAAGCCGGTAAATCGCGGTTTCGATATCCAACAAGGTCATTAGTGTTTCAATTTATCTACTGTTTCCAGCCGCACTATGGCCCTGGGGTCTACTTAGCCTCTGACAGAAATGAGTACTACAAAACTTCCTGGAGGTAAAGGGCGGCCGGCGCGTAAGGGCTGACAACCTTACCGCCATTTGTGAGGAGATTGTGTGAGACCTGACGCCTCAAAACTTTATGGGCTTTCACGGGCTGTTACAGGGACAGATTTACCTTTTAGGATAAGTGTGAAATCTGGAAAAGAGGCACTATTTGCCGAGCGAGGACAATACGCAGATCTGTGAAAAGGAATTAATAGGAAGCTGGAAAGAAAACTATATATTTTGCACTTTCACCAGACATCACATGGGTGATTAAAACAGCGGAGGAACAAGATACGTAACCGGGATGAAGTGAGATGAGATATAGTTTTAGACGGAAAATCTTAAGAAAAGAAGCCATATAATATTGAAATATTAATATATTAAGAAAACAGGATGCTAGTGCATGGGCTGAATTTAAATAGCCAAGAAAAGATAATGTTGGGTTCTCGCGGACAGATTCATATCATGTTCCACAATTTCTTGCAAACCTGAGGGGTTATCAGCTTTTTCAAGAATAGCTCTGTCCCACGTTTAACTAGGAGACAGAAGGATAGATACGGAACTGACAAATAGAGTTACCTTATTCGGAAATCTGAAAAGGAAACCACCTCAGTTTTACTTTCTACTGTACGTTGCAGTGCTGCCATCTTTTTCAAAGTTATGGAGTGTCTTGCTGTCAGTTCAAAGTAACAGATATAAATGATCGATTTATATTAAGACCGCAGATCCATTTTACTTCTTGTTTGATTCCCTAATTTCAGGCATGAAGTTCGCTATGTCAGAGATGAAGGCGGTGCTGTCAGCTATACTGAGGAGGTATAAGATCTTGCCAGCGAGCCCCCCACACAAGCTGGACCTCACGGTTGTCCTCGTCCTGAAGTCCCTGACAGGAGTTGTACTGAGGCTCCAGCCCCGGATTCCAGATGCTGCCACCAGGTGTGCTAATGAACACTGAACGGGAACGCAGCGGGCCGCTTCATTAGACACGGGCCAAGTGTTCAGTCACCACATGAAGGACTGAGCAACAGTTTTTGAATTTTAAATATTTTATATTACAGGTATAATTCTGTTATTGAAATCAAGTGTTTCTTTGCCTTGGAGCGTGTGTGAAATAATTAACAATAGGACAAGAGCTTTTCTGGTTCCGCGATAATTCTTCAAGGAATGTTTTATGTAACATTTTTTTCCCCATTATTATTATTATTATGCCAATCATTTGAACAAAGACCGATTGTGGGTAAGAACACTAGTAACGGATAAAGACAGAGTTGCTCGTGTGCTTGAGTAAACATCACGAATTCAGGAGAGTAATGGAACATTCACGCATTCTTTCAACTATGCAGAGTGTAATTGAAAGGTGCGGTTAAATTTCTGGAACGTGTTATGCAGACCAAAACAGGAAAATGTCCGTATCGACGTGTGTCTGGAAAAAATAATTTGAAAGTTAACAGCTGAAAGTGGACATTGTAATCAGTGCTAAGAAGGCCCACGATATTCAGTGAACGCTTCAACACGTCCCATCATGGACCGCCGAATCCATTCAAAGATGCCGGAGTAGTTTCAGGTAGTCTGACAGGCATCCACAGTGTGAAGATGAATTGTCGTTTCGTTATCAGTAGTAGCTGGATACACACGGGTTGTTAGGTGTCCCCACAGGTGAAAATCCGGAGGATCCAAATTTGGCGAGAGGGTCATTCCATGTGAAATCATCCAGAAAGGTCGCTCACCATTTAAAAAAAAAAATTATATTTTGTACACTTATTTATACATATTTTCATACTACAAAAAAATTTTTAAAAAAATTCTAATCCGCTCAGTTCTCTCGGTACAGGCGTTTTTATAATGCGAAAAAACGCGTTTTCGGCTGAAATGGAGGTTTGCGTTATCTTCCATATCTCGATAACTATTGAAGCTACAGACTCCAATAAAAACGCTATTTGTTCCTCATGATATGGACTACAAATCATATTATTACAAGTTTTTACTCAGCTCACTTTCTGTAGGTGTAATTAAACTTGAAACTTACCTATCGATTTTGGGAAAAACGCTATTTTTGACCTTCAAAAACCAATGGGAGGGGGAAAGTATCAGATCTGTGATTTCTACCATTTGTTGTTACCTATATGGGGAATATAATCACTTAGTTTTGAATCCCGTACCTAGTTTCCAAAATTTTCCAGGAGCTTCCAAACTTTGCTCTGGGCCCCAAATCGGCCATTTTTAACATCTCATATCTCCGGTGGGGAAGCTCAGAAAATTTTTAAATTCCTAGAAGATAATGCTCTATTCTAGAGTAACTTGGAGTTAAAATTAGAACTTTGATATTCAATTAATGGCGAAGTTCTTATAATGCGAATAAACGCGTTTTCGGCTGAAATGGAGGTTTGCGTTATCTTCCATATCTCGATAACTATTGAAGCTAGGGACTCCAATAAGAAATCAGTTTGTTCCCCATGATATGGACTATAAATCATATTATTACAAGGTTTTACTCAACTCGCTTCCTCTAGGTCTAATTAAGCTCGAAATTTACCTATCGATTTTGGGAAAACCGCTATTTTTGACCTTCAAAAACCAATGGGAGGGGGAAAGTATCAGATCTGAGGTTTCTACCCTTTGTTGTTACCTACATGGGGAATATGATCACGTAGTTTTGAACCCCGTACCTAGTTTCCAAAATTTTCAAGGAGATTTCAAACTTTGCTCTGGGCCCAAAATCGACCATTTTTAACATCTCATATCTCCGGTGGAGAAACTCCGAAAATTTTTAAATTCATAGCAAATAATGCTCTATTCTAGAGTAACTTGGAGATAAAATTAAAACTTTGTTATTCAACTAGTAGCGAAGTTGTGGGCACTTTGACTTTTACAAAAAAATCAATACCTCGATAATTGGCTTACCTGCATCCAATAGTATTAGTTCTTTGTGTACTCCGATGAAAATCGTCCAGTTTGTTTGAAAGTAGTTCAGGAATTGTCCACTACCACGATGTCTTCGAAATCATCGGACTTAGATGTTTTATAACACCTGACCGTGTTTTCCTCCAGAGGGACGACCCGGTGTTTTTCTCTTGTATGGGGCACAGTTTTGCACTTTTGGAACCTGCTTTTTAGAATGATTTCATTTCTTGCAACTTCCTCTGTTGGCACAAAAAAGTAAACTATCCCTGAGATATTTTCTGTGCAGAATTTGTACAGTTCTAGCGGGCACATGATTTGATTAAAATGAGTTCTCTGAAGACTGGCTTTCGTTGCTTGCCTCTTCGTGGTGCCGCCAATACCGTCACAGGCATTCTTCCCGTGCGAGGTGGCAAAGAAGTTCCATTCTGCTTGAAGACCGAAGTCTTCATAGTGATGACATAAATTGGAAAGATTCTTTTTGTTTTTATATTGGCTTCCAGCGCCATCACTGAAATAAATAACTTTCCTGACTGAAGGCACATTTTCTTTTATATCGGCGATAAGATATTTTTGGAACACGTAAACTGTGGCTGTATCGTGCTTTACATGATCACTGATTATACACAAGCTTCGGCATTTTGTTATATTGTCCGCCTTGTAGTAATACACAAATGGGTGAAGTGTAGCCTGTTGATTTACCCAATGGAAACTTTGAATCTCGTCTTGAACGAGAAACGAATAGTTTTCTGCAAAATCTGCAAGAACGAGACACTGTGTTTCGTCCAGGCTTTCCCTCGTTTCTTTCAAATACTGGGACTGAATTTTAGCGACGTAGTGATGTTTTTTCAGTTCTGTCAGTTTTTCAATTAGAGATTCGCAGAATTCACTGTAAGTTTGCATTACAGAAATCATGTTAGCTCTGTCTGTGTTGACCCATTGTTTGTAGACTATTTGATCCGGCATGCTCTCAGATTCGGCTGATAGCAATTCCGTCAGAATTTCTTCTCCAGGGCAGTCTGCGCATTCATTACTCATGCACTTATAACTTTCGATGTCACAAACCATTACACGTAATAAATCCTTGTAGTCCGAATTCAATGTTGCTCCCTCTACCATCAGCTTAACATTTTGGTGATAGCTGCACACACAAACGGTATGAGTCCCCGATGCACCAGCAATGATACACCACTTCGGTCGAAGTGCACAAAATTTGGAGAAACCAATTTTGTGTTCAGGTTGCGTATTCTTAAAGTGAATGTAAAGTTCCATCAAATTGCATAGTATCAGCCGTTTCTGCATATGCTCTTTGATACCTCCCACGTTAACACTCACACAATCCTTTTTTCCAGGGCAGATCCTACTGTTTTCATTGTTTTCATAAAATTCCGTGACAGCCTGAATTGTTTCGTCACGAACTGGATGGCCACGCCTTTTGCCTAAATCCGGAAGGATCCCTTGCGTCTTCTGAAGCGCTCGAGTAATTCTAACCAAGTGCTCAGAAACTTGAAATTCTTGACTTATCTTCTGTCTTGACCACGAAGTTGGCAATAAGCTAATGATTTTAATTTTTTCCTCTTTGTTTGAGATTAAACATTTCTCCTTTAATTTGTTAATCAACAAATCATACTCCTCACTTAATGCAAAGGAAGGTATTTGTTCATCTGAATCAAGACCCATCGAGTCGTCTGAAAATGAACTCGCTAGTTTCCTTCGAAGAGAGTCGGATATTCTTCTACATTTTTTTGATAAAGCAGCGGGTCTTTTCCCAGTATTCATCTTCATAATTTTAGCCACAGGAGAAATATCTAGAGCCGAACATACTGCTTCTAATTCTGCCACATTTTCTTGCATAGGTGCAAACTCGCTCCTTCCAGAACCACTACTGCCCCCACTTACGGTTTCTTTAAGAACAAAAATCTTTGTGTAACAATTAGGACACAAGGATTTACCTGGTACTAGAGCTACCGGAAAATTCTTTTCTTTCTTGAGATGTTCTAATGAAATTTCACGTAAACCTTTCTTAATGGTTCGTTTGTGCACTTTTAGCGGGTCACAACAAATGTTTCCAAACAGGTGATTGTATTTAACAGAATATTTAATCTCATGATGCTTGCATATGGACCTCAAATCGCATTCACCCAATCTTAACTTTAAAACAGTTTGTTTCTCTTCACCCAATTCACTCACAAGCGTTAACTGTTTGTTGACGGCACCATACGTAGTCTTATGGCATTCTTCACGTGTGACAATACCTATAGAACATTCCATTTCAAAAACTTTTTCCTTTCGACTTAGAGAATACCGAGCTCGATACACGTAAAAGATCTACAGTTGCTGAACATACACTGACTTACAGTTCGAGACAGCATTCATGTGAATGCTTCATGCTGCTGAGAAAGCAGCCTAACACTAACATCACGATTACAAAAGTTTGGGTTCAGATGTCAAAACACACAAGGCGCGAAATAAGGGACGTAGATGTAGGTCCATGTTTATAGCCAGAGCTTAGCTCTAAGAACCGAGTGTTGATAACATGTCATTCCGAGCAGTAAGTACAGGCCTGAAAATGATTTTAGTGACAAAATATAGATCTCTCGTCTTTTATACCAAATAAAGAACCGGCAATACCATTGGATGCAGGTAAGCCAATTATCGAGGTATTGATTTTTTCGTAAAATTCAAAGTGCCCACAACATCGCTATTAGTTGAATATCAAAGTTGTAATTCTATCTCCAAGTTACTCTAGAATAGAGCATTATTTGCTATGAATTTCAAAATTTTCGGAGTTTCTCCACCGAAGATATGAGATGTTAAAAATGGTCGATTTTGGGCCCAGAGCAAAGTTTGAAATCTCCTTGAAAATTTTGGAAACTAGGTACGGGGTTCAAAACTACGTGATCATATTCCCCATGTAGGTAACAACAAAGGGTAGAAACCTCAGATCTGATACTTTCCCCCTCCCATTGGTTTTTGAAGGTCAAAAATAGCGGTTTTCCCAAAATCGATAGGTAAATTTCGAGCTTAATTAGACCTAGAGGAAGCGAGTTGAGTAAAACCTTGTAATAATATGATTTATAGTCCATATCATGGGGAACAAACTGATTTCTTATTGGAGTCCCTAGCTTCAATAGTTATCGAGATATGGAAGATAACGCAAACCTCCATTTCAGCCGAAAACGCGTTTATTCGCATTATAAGAACTTCGCCATTAATTGAATATCAAAGTTCTAATTTTAACTC